GGGGAGTCAGTCTAATATAAGGCTTTCAATGACGTCACAGCGCCAACTTCAGACACATTTATTTTTATTATTCATGTCCAAAACAACACAACTTTAAACTGAGTTATTCATATGGTGCTTTTCTAAACAAGAAAGAATGAATCACAGTCATATTAACCTTAACTCTAACTCTGTAACTGTTGTTTAGAATAGTGCTAAATCATTACAGTTTATTAATGTTGCTCTCATCTCTCTATAGTTATGCTTAAAAGGTTTGCACAGAACTGTTTTAACCTGTTTAGCACTTTGTCAGAGTAAAGTCCTGTGTCACATAGTCCCAGGTTTATTCTCAGTGTTAATGTAATATATCCTTAGACCTGTCTGTGTCTCTGCAGGCACCTGGCTCAGGGCACCCACCAGCTCAGGAGGGTGCTGCGTGTGGTCGAGTCTCGTGGGTCTCAAACCTTCAGGAAGGTCGGTGAACACTAAAATACTGACATCATTCTGGAGTGAATTTGTGAAGTCAAATTATCGTGTATTTATGGGAAGATATTTTGGTTTAGAATTTTCTAGATGAATTAATTTTGACTGTACGTACCAGCTGTGCCTAAAGGTAAAGGTCCCATTAGGGCGATCCTCTGCATTTGACCCTGATGCCTCTGGGCGTCAGGAGCAGTGGTCGCCGTAGAAACGGCTGGAGGATTTCACCTGTTGTGGATGTTTTAGTGGTAGGAGAAACCGGAGCACCCAGAGAAATCCTGTGCAGACACAGGGAGAACATACAAACTCCACTCAGAAAGACCCTGTTTGGACTGGGATTCAAACCCAGGACCTTCTGGTGCATCACCAGAATAAAGCATTATGAGTCAGTGTGCGTCAGTGTGCGTCTGTGTGCGTCAGTGTGCGTCAGTGTGCGTCAGTGTGCGTCAGTGTGCGTCTGTGTGAGTCAGTGTGAGTCTGTGTGAGTCTGTGTGAGTCAGTGTGAGTCTGTGTGTGTCTGTGTGAGTCAGTGTGAGTCTGTGTGAGTCAGTGTGAGTCTGTGTGAGTCTGTGTGAGTCTGTGTCTGTGTGAGTCTGTGTGAGTCAGTGTGAGTCTGTGTGAGTCTGTGTGAGTCTGTGTGAGTCAGTGTGAGTCTGTGTGAGTCTGTGTCTGTGTGAGTCAGTGTGAGTCAGTGTGAGTCTGTGTGAGTCTGTGTGAGTCTGTGTCTGTGTGAGTCTGTGTCTGTGTGCGTCTGTGTGAGTCAGTGTGAGTCTGTGAGAGTCTATGTGTGAGTCAGTGTGAGTCTGTGTGAGTCTGTGTGAGTCAGTGTGAGTCTGTGTCTGTGTGAGTCTGTGTCTGTGTGCGTCTGTGTGAGTCAGTGTGAGTCTGTGTGAGTCAGTGTGAGTCTGTGAGTCTGTGTGAGTCTGTGTCTGTGTGAGTATGTGTCTGTGTGCGTCTGTGTGAGTCAGTGTGAGTCTGTGTGAGTCTGTGTGAGTCTGTGTCTGTGTGAGTCTGTGTGAGTCTGTGTGAGTCTGTGTGAGTCAGTGTGAGTCTGTGTGAGTCTGTGTGAGTCTGTGTGAGTCTGTGTGAGTCTGTGTGAGTCTGTGTGAGTCTGTGTGAGTCAGTGTGAGTCTGTGTGAGTCTGTGTGAGTCTGTGTGAGTCAGTGTGAGTCTGTGTGAGTCTGTGTGAGTCAGTGTGTTCCTGATCCTAAACAGTTACAATATACATACAGTGACAACACATAATAAACCACACTCAAAAGGACACATTGTGTCAGGGACAGGGTCCACAGATGGACCCCACGGGGACAGGATCCACAGACGGACCCCACGGGGACAGGGTCCACAGACGGACCCCACGGGGACAGGGTCCACAGACGGACCCCACGGGGACAGGATCCACAGACGGACCCCACGGGGACAGGGTCCACAGACGGACCCCACAGGGACAGGGTCCACAGACGGACCCCACGGGGACAGGGTCCACAGACGGACCCCACGGGGACAGGGTCCACAGACGGACCCCACGGGGACAGGGTCCACAGACGGACCCCACAGGGACAGGGTCCACAGACGGACCCCACGGGGACAGGGTCCACAGACGGGTCCACAGACGGACCCCACGGGGACAGGGTCCACAGACGGGTCCACAGACGGACCCCACAGGGACCGGGTCCACAGATGGACCCCACACGGACAGGGTACACAGACGGACCCCACAGGGACAGGGTCCACAGACGGACCCCACGGGGACAGGGTCCACAGACGGACCCCACAGGGACAGGGTCCACAGACGGACCCCACGGGGACAGGGTCCACAGACGGACCCCACGGGGACAGGGTCCACAGACGGACCCCACGGGGACAGGGTCCACAGACGGACCCCACAGGGACAGGGTCCACAGACGGACCCCACGGGGACAGGGTCCACAGACGGGTCCACAGACGGACCCCACGGGGACAGGGTCCACAGACGGGTCCACAGACGGACCCACACAGGGACCGGGTCCACAGATGGACCCCACACGGACAGGGTACACAGACGGACCCCACGGGGACAGGGTCCACAGACGGACCCCACGGGGACAGGGTCCACAGACGGACCCCACAGGGACAGGGTCCACAGACGGACCCCACGGGGACAGGGTCCACAGACGGGTCCACAGACGGACCCCACGGGGACAGGGTCCACAGACGGGTCCACAGACGGACCCCACAGGGACAGGGTCCACAGATGGACCCCACACGGACAGGGTACACAGACGGACCCCACAGGGACAGGGTCCACAGACGGACCCCACGGGGACAGGGTCCACAGACGGGTCCACAGACGGACCCCACAGGGACAGGGTCCGCAGACGGGTCCACAGACGGCCCCCACAGGGACAGGGTCCGCAGACGGGTCCACAGACGGCCCCCACAGGGACAGGGTCCGCAGACGGGTCCACAGACGGACCCCACGTGGACGGGGTCCACAGACGGACCCCACGGGGACAGGGTCCACAGACTCAGAGTCAGGACTCAGTGGTGAATGTGTCATAGTTGATACGTTTCTTGTCCCTGTCACTCCCTTCAGTCTGCAGCAAAGAAGTTGGCAGAGGTGCTGCTGAGCTCCATGGGGGAGGACAGTTACTGGTCTCCTCTGGGGCCCCCCCCTGCAGCCTGGCTCCACAGAGAGGGGGCCGCGGCCTCCAGAGACGCTGCCTACCCCACAGTGAAACCTCCACAGCGCTACAGCACCGAGGGGTGAGCACCTCCACTACATACTGGAGATCTAACATAGATCTAAGATAGCTCTAACATAGATCTAAGTTAGATCTAACATAGATCTAACATAGATCTAAGTTAGATCTAACATAGATCTAAGATAGATCTAAGTTAGATCTAACATAGATCTAAGATAGATCTAACATAGATCTAAGATAGATCCAAGTTAGATCTAACATAGATCTAACATAGCTCTAACATAGATCTAACATTTGGCCCACAGGCCTGACTGTGACGTGTCTGGTTAGTTCCAACAGAAAGAGTGTTTCAAAAGTAAATGATAGAATGATAATAATAAACCTCTGTGTTTTACAAACCTGTAGGAAGTGAGTCACTGTTTGATGTTTGTCTGAGAGCTGATTGGCTGAAGAGGGTGGTCCTCTCCAAACACTTTTATATCTGAAGAAGTCACCAGGCCAAAAAATAAGATTAAGATTTAGAGATCCTCTGTTGGTCAGTGTTGCATCAGCAGATACAGAACAGGAGAAAGAGGAGAACACAGCACAAGATACATGAACAATAAACTATTCAAAATAAAATAACATAAAATAAAATATATGAATTTAGCATCATAAAGAAGCCAGAGTCAATCCTGTATATTCTAGTGCAGTAGTACATAGTTTTATGTAAAATAGATTCATATAAAACAGTTCTGAGAGCAAGGACAGAATTGTATCTGATTGTATGAAACTTACGTCCCCGAGCTTTAAGTTGAGACATCTTTAACGTCAGGGTGCTTGTTTGCCAGGTCAACTGGAGGTCGTTATCTATTAGTACATTTTTATGAAATAAAAAGAATCAAGGCTGAAGTTGCTTGGACACTTTGAAAGTCTGAACGTAAACCTTCTCTGCTCCTGATACAAATGTAATCCTTGATATTTTGTGTCAGAGTGAACTGAAAGCGAGAGGAAGAAGAGGAGAGTTTCAGGGCAACATGTGAGAGCGAACCCGCCGCAGGAGTCCTTCTTCAGTTACAGAAACAGGAGATGCTGATGAGAGCCTGGACCAGAGCCACTTCCTGTTCCTTATATGTACTTCCTGTTTGTGTAGATGCTTCTGTCCTCAAGACGTGGTGGAGGAGGCCGTGCTGCTGCTGCTCATCACAGAGTCAATGGTGAGACCCTCCACATATACTTTAATATATACTAGTATATATATACTATTATATATACTATCATTACATACTATAATATATAATGAAAACCCAAACACTGCAACTGTTTCACCGTTTAACTGGATGTATAGATTTATGTTTTTATCTATAATAATGAGGAAGTTTGATTATCTGTTTTCTTTCCAACTTAAAGCTGGAGTTTTAACCTCTTTTCCAAAATAATGCGTTTTGTTTGCCCCGATTAAGACCTGAAAGAAGTCAAAACACTCAGAGTCAGTGTCAGAGTCAGTGTCAGAGTCAGTGTCAGTGTCAGAGTCAGTGTCAGTGTCAGTGTCAGAGTCAGTGTCAGTGTCAGTGTCAGAGTCAGAGTCAGTGTCAGTGTCAGAGTCAGAGTCAGAGTCAGTGTCAGTCAGTGTCAGTGTCAGTGTCAGAGTCAGTGTCAGTGTCAGTGTCAGAGTCAGTGTCAGTGTCAGTGTCAGTGTCAGAGTCAGTGTCAGTGTCAGTGTCAGAGTCAGTGTCAGTGTCAGTGTCAGAGTCAGTGTCAGTGTCAGAGTCAGAGTCAGAGTCAGTGTCAGTCAGTGTCAGTGTCAGTGTCAGAGTCAGTGTCAGTGTCAGTGTCAGAGTCAGTGTCAGTGTCAGTGTCAGTGTCAGAGTCAGTGTCAGTGTCAGTGTCAGAGTCAGTGTCAGTGTCAGTGTCAGAGTCAGTGTCAGTGTCAGTGTCAGAGTCAGTGTCAGTGTCAGAGTCAGTGTCAGTGTCAGGTTCAGTGTCAGTCAGTGTCAGTGTCAGTGTCAGAGTCAGTGTCAGTGTCAGAGTCAGTGTCAGAGTCAGAGTCAGTGTCAGTGTCAGTGTCAGAGTCAGTGTCAGTGTCAGTGTCAGTGTCAGTGTCAGAGTCAGTGTCAGTGTCAGTGTCAGAGTCAGTGTCAGAGTCAGTGTCAGTGTCAGTGTCAGAGTCAGTGTCAGTGTCAGAGTCAGAGTCAGAGTCAGTGTCAGTCAGTGTCAGTGTCAGTGTCAGAGTCAGTGTCAGTGTCAGTGTCAGAGTCAGTGTCAGTGTCAGTGTCAGAGTCAGAGTCAGTGTCAGTCAGTGTCAGTGTCAGTGTCAGAGTCAGTGTCAGTGTCAGTGTCAGTCAGTGTCAGTGTCAGAGTCAGAGTCAGTGTCAGGGTCAGTGTCAGTCAGTGTCAGTGTCAGTGTCAGAGTCAGTGTCAGTGTCAGTGTCAGAGTCAGTGTCAGTGTCAGTGTCAGAGTCAGAGTCAGTGTCAGTCAGTGTCAGTGTCAGTGTCAGAGTCAGTGTCAGTGTCAGTGTCAGTGTCAGTCAGTGTCAGTGTCAGAGTCAGTGTCAGTGTCAGTGTCAGTGTCAGAGTCAGAGTCAGTGTCAGTCAGTGTCAGAGTCAGTGTCAGTGTCAGTGTCAGTCAGTGTCAGTGTCAGTGTCAGAGTCAGTGTCAGTGTCAGTGTCAGAGTCAGAGTCAGTGTCAGTCAGTGTCAGTGTCAGTGTCAGAGTCAGTGTCAGAGTCAGTGTCAGTGTCAGTCTCAGAGTCAGTGTCAGTGTCAGTGTCAGAGTCAGAGTCAGAGACAGTGTCAGTGTCAGTGTCAGAGTCAGAGTCAGAGTCAGTGTCAGTCAGTGTCAGTGTCAGTGTCAGAGTCAGTGTCAGTGTCAGAGTCAGAGTCAGAGTCAGAGTCAGTGTCAGTGTCAGAGTCAGAGTCAGAGTCAGTGTCAGTGTCAGTGTCAGAGTCAGAGTCAGTGTCAGTCAGTGTCAGTGTCAGAGTCAGTGTCAGTCAGTGTCAGTGTCAGAGTCAGAGTCAGAGTCAGAGTCAGAGTCAGTGTCAGTGTCAGAGTCAGAGTCAGAGTCAGTGTCAGTGTCAGTGTCAGAGTCAGAGTCAGTGTCAGTCAGTGTCAGTGTCAGAGTCAGTGTCAGTCAGTGTCAGTGTCAGAGTCAGAGTCAGAGTCAGTCAGAGTCAGTGTCAGTGTCAGAGTCAGTGTCAGTGTCAGTGTCAGAGTCAGAGTCAGGGTCAGTCAGTGTCAGTGTCAGAGTCAGTGTCAGAGTCAGAGTAAGAGTCAGAGTCAGAGTCAGTGTCAGTGTCAGTGTAAGAGTCAGTGTCAGAGTCAGTGTCAGAGTCAGTGTCAGAGTCAGTGTCAGTCAGTGTCAGTGTCAGTGTCAGTGTCAGAGTCAGTGTCAGTGTCAGTGTCAGAGTCAGTGTCAGTGTCAGTGTCAGTGTCAGTCAGTGTCAGAGTCAGTGTCAGTGTCAGTGTCAGAGTCAGAGTCAGTGTCAGTGTCAGTCAGTGTCAGTGTCAGTGTCAGAGTCAGAGTCAGTGTCAGTCAGTGTCAGTGTCAGTGTCAGAGTCAGTGTCAGTGTCAGAGTCAGAGTCAGAGTCAGAGTCAGTGTCAGTGTCAGAGTCAGAGTCAGAGTCAGTGTCAGTGTCAGTGTCAGTGTCAGAGTCAGAGTCAGTGTCAGTGTCAGTCAGTGTCAGAGTCAGAGTCAGAGTCAGTGTCAGTCAGTGTCAGTGTCAGTGTCAGAGTCAGTGTCAGTGTCAGAGTCAGAGTCAGAGTCAGAGTCAGTGTCAGTGTCAGAGTCAGAGTCAGTGTCAGTGTCAGTGTCAGTGTCAGAGTCAGAGTCAGAGTCAGTGTCAGTCAGTGTCAGTGTCAGAGTCAGTGTCAGTCAGTGTCAGTGTCAGAGTCAGAGTCAGAGTCAGAGTCAGAGTCAGAGTCAGTGTCAGTGTCAGTGTCAGAGTCAGTGTCAGAGTCAGTGTCAGAGTCAGTGTCAGTCAGTGTCAGTGTCAGAGTCAGTGTCAGTCAGTGTCAGTGTCAGAGTCAGAGTCAGAGTCAGTGTCAGTGTCAGTCAATGTCAGTGTCAGTGTCAGAGTCAGTGTCAGTCAGTGTCAGTGTCAGAGTCAGAGTCAGTCAGTGTCAGTGTCAGAGTCAGTGTCAGTGTCAGTGTCAGTGTCAGTCAGTGTCAGAGTCAGTGTCAGTGTCAGTGTCAGTGTCAGAGTCAGAGTCAGTGTCAGTCAGTGTCAGAGTCAGTGTCAGTGTCAGTGTCAGTCAGTGTCAGTGTCAGAGTCAGTGTCAGTGTCAGTGTCAGAGTCAGAGTCAGTGTCAGTCAGTGTCAGTGTCAGTGTCAGAGTCAGTGTCAGAGTCAGTGTCAGTCTCAGAGTCAGTGTCAGTGTCAGTGTCAGTGTCAGAGACAGTGTCAGTGTCAGTGTCAGAGTCAGAGTCAGTGTCAGTCAGTGTCAGTGTCAGTGTCAGAGTCAGTGTCAGTGTCAGAGTCAGAGTCAGAGTCAGAGTCAGTGTCAGTGTCAGTGTCAGAGTCAGAGTCAGTGTCAGTGTCAGTGTCAGTGTCAGAGTCAGAGTCAGTGTCAGTCAGTGTCAGTCAGTGTCAGTGTCAGAGTCAGTGTCAGTCAGTGTCAGTGTCAGAGTCAGAGTCAGAGTCAGTGTCAGTGTCAGTGTCAGAGTCAGTGTCAGAGTCAGTGTCAGTGTCAGAGTCAGTGTCAGTCAGTGTCAGTGTCAGTGTCAGAGTCAGTGTCAGAGTCAGAGTCAGAGTCAGTGTCAGTGTCAGTGTCAGAGTCAGAGTCAGAGTCAGAGTCAGTGTCAGTGTCAGTGTCAGAGTCAGAGTCAGTGTCAGAGTCAGTGTCAGTCAGTGTCAGTGTCAGAGTCAGAGTCAGAGTCAGAGTCAGTGTCAGTGTCAGTGTCAGAGTCAGAGTCAGTGTCAGTCAGTGTCAGTCAGTGTCAGTCAGTGTCAGTGTCAGAGTCAGTGTCAGTCAGTGTCAGAGTCAGAGTCAGTGTCAGTGTCAGTCAGTGTCAGTGTCAGTGTCAGAGTCAGAGTCAGAGTCAGTGTCAGTCAGTGTCAGTGTCAGAGTCAGAGTCAGAGTCAGAGTCAGTGTCAGTGTCAGTGTCAGAGTCAGAGTCAGTGTCAGTGTCAGTGTCAGAGTCAGAGTCAGTGTCAGTGTCAGTGTCAGAGTCAGTGTCAGTCAGTGTCAGTGTCAGTGTCAGAGTCAGAGTCAGTGTCAGTGTCAGTGTCAGAGTCAGTGTCAGTGTCAGTGTCAGAGTCAGAGTCAGAGTCAGAGTCAGTGTCAGTGTCAGTGTCAGAGTCAGAGTCAGTGTCAGTGTCAGAGTCAGAGTCAGAGTCAGTGTCAGTGTCAGAGTCAGTGTCAGTCAGTGTCAGTCAGTGTCAGTGTCAGAGTCAGAGTCAGAGTCAGTGTCAGTGTCAGAGTCAGTGTCAGAGTCAGTGTCAGAGTCAGAGTCAGTGTCAGTCAGTGTCAGTGTCAGTGTCAGAGTCAGTGTCAGTCAGTGTCAGTGTCAGAGTCAGAGTCAGAGTCAGAGTCAGTGTCAGTGTCATTGTCAGTGTCTGTGTCAGAGTCAGTGTCAGATTCAGTGTCAGAGTCAGTGTCAGTGTCAGTGTCAGAGTCAGTGTCAGTGTCAGTGTCAGTGTCAGAGTCAGTGTCAGTGTCAGTGTCAGAGTCAGAGTCAGTGTCAGTCAGTGTCAGTGTCAGTGTCAGAGTCAGTGTCAGTCAGTGTCAGTGTCAGAGTCAGTGTCAGTGTCAGAGTCAGAGTCAGTGTCAGTGTCAGTGTCAGTCAGTGTCAGTGTCAGTGTCAGAGTCAGTGTCAGTGTCAGTGTCAGAGTCAGTGTCAGTCAGTGTCAGTGTCAGTGTCAGAGTCAGTGTCAGAGTCAGTGTCAGTGTCAGTCTCAGAGTCAGTGTCAGTGTCAGTGTCAGAGTCAGAGACAGTGTCAGTGTCAGTGTCAGAGTCAGTGTCAGTCAGTGTCAGTGTCAGAGTCAGTGTCAGTGTCAGAGTCAGAGTCAGTGTCAGTGTCAGTGTCAGTGTCAGTCAGTGTCAGTGTCAGAGTCAGTGTCAGTGTCAGTGTCAGAGTCAGTGTCAGTCAGTGTCAGTGTCAGTGTCAGAGTCAGTGTCAGAGTCAGTGTCAGTGTCAGTCTCAGAGTCAGTGTCAGTGTCAGTGTCAGTGTCAGAGTCAGAGTCAGAGACAGTGTCAGTGTCAGTGTCAGAGTCAGAGTCAGTGTCAGTCAGTGTCAGTGTCAGTGTCAGAGTCAGTGTCAGTGTCAGTGTCAGAGTCAGAGTCAGAGTCAGAGTCAGTGTCAGAGTCAGAGTCAGAGTCAGTGTCAGTGTCAGTGTCAGAGTCAGAGTCAGAGTCAGAGTCAGAGTCAGTGTCAGTGTCAGTGTCAGAGTCAGAGTCAGTGTCAGTGTCAGTGTCAGAGTCAGTCAGTGTCAGTGTCAGTGTCAGAGTCAGAGTCAGTGTCAGTGTCAGTGTCAGAGTCAGTGTCAGTCAGTGTCAGTGTCAGAGTCAGTGTCAGTCAGTGTCAGTGTCAGAGTCAGAGTCAGTGTCAGAGTCAGTGTCAGAGTCAGTGTCAGTGTCAGAGTCAGAGTCAGTCAGTGTCAGTGTCAGAGTCAGTGTCAGTCAGTGTCAGTGTCAGAGTCAGAGTCAGTGTCAGAGTCAGTGTCAGTGTCAGTGTCAGAGTCAGAGTCAGAGTCAGAGTCAGAGTCAGTGTCAGTGTCAGAGTCAGAGTCAGAGTCAGTGTCAGTGTCAGTGTCAGAGTCAGAGTCAGTGTCAGTGTCAGTGTCAGAGTCAGAGTCAGTGTCAGTGTCAGTGTCAGAGTCAGTGTCAGTCAGTGTCAGTGTCAGAGTCAGTGTCAGTCAGTGTCAGTGTCAGAGTCAGAGTCAGTGTCAGAGTCAGTGTCAGAGTCAGTGTCAGTGTCAGAGTCAGTGTCAGAGTCAGAGTCAGAGTCAGAGTCAGTGTCAGAGTCAAAACATGTAATCTTTACTTTATGAAAGTCAGTATTCGAAGCTTTGGGCTCAGAGCTGATTGGCCGAGAGAGAGCGGACCTCACTTTTGGATCTATACAAGTTTAGCTTTAGATTTGACAGAAGCTAAAATAGCTATGAGCTAATTAGATGCATTTTAATACACAGATATTTTGGTGGTTTGAAAGGAGCTTTTAAATGATCCAAAATACATTTATTTTTTTGACCATTAAATGTGATCTCTAGTGTAGTTTACATTGTAATAATCTTTAAGTAGAAAATATGAAATATTAGTAAAGTATTTAGTATGATAGATATGTAATGATGAAACAAAACACCTCCGTCTTGTGTTGGAAAATTAAAATATACTCTTTTAGCAAACATGTGTCATATGCTGTGTGTGCTCAGTGCTGTGTCTTTTGGGTTCTGCACATTCATCTTTACAAAACAACTTTGGATGGAGAGCATTTGTGAACAGGAGGTTTCACTCGGATTTAGTTCTGTGCCATTTTAACACATTGATTTGTTTTGTTTTAACCTGTGATCTATCTTTATCTTTAGTAAAACTGTCCTTTCAGTAAAATCTATATAGAATCTTTCTTTGTGGTCGTAACATGTTCAAAAGTTCTGAGTGTTACAGACACTTTGTAACCGTCTGTTGTTGTTGTTGTTGTTGTGCAGACGAGCGGAGAGGCGGTGATCAGTCGGATGCCGGATCAGGCCGAGGCGCGGCAGAGCAGCCTCCAGGACGCCTCCTCTGTGTACGACCTGCTGACCATCGGCATGGCCAGGAGGGGGCAGTACGCCATGCTGTCAGAGGTAAAGACTGCTGCACAGAAGAAGCCACAGGGGTTTTGTGTTGCTCCACCTCCACCTCCACCTAAATCTACTACCGCAGTCCCACCAATGTTAATGAGCTGCAGAGAGGGTGGTGCTGATGTTAATGAGCTGCAGAGGGTGGTGCTGATGTTAATGAGCTGCAGAGGGTGGTGCTGATGTTAATGAGCTGCAGAGAGGGTGGTGCTGATGTTAATGAGCTGCAGAGGGTGGTGCTGATGTTAATGAGCTGCAGAGGGTGGTGCTGATGTTAATGAGCTGCAGAGAGGGTGGTGCTGATGTTAATGAGCTGCAGAGGGTGGTGCTGATGTTAATGAGCTGCAGAGGGTGGTGCTGATGTTAATGAGCTGCAGAGAGGGTGGTGCTGATGTTAATGAGCTGCAGAGGGTGGTGCTGATGTTAATGAGCTGCAGAGAGGGTGGTGCTGATGTTAATGAGCTGCAGAGGGTGGTGCTGATGTTAATGAGCTGCAGAGGGTGGTGCTGATGTTAATGAGCTGCAGAGGGTGGTGCTGATGTTAATGAGCTGCAGAGAGGGTGGTGCTGATGTTAATGAGCTGCAGAGAGGGTGGTGCTGATGTTAATGAGCTGCAGAGGGTGGTGCTGATGTTAATGAGCTGCATAGAGGGTGGTGCTGATGTTAATGAGCTGCAGAGAGGGTGGTGCTGATGTTAATGAGCTGCAGAGGGTGGTGCTGATGTTAATGAGCTGCAGAGGGTGGTGCTGATGTTAATGAGCTGCAGAGAGGGTGGTGCTGATGTTAATGAGCTGCAGAGGGTGGTGCTGATGTTAATGAGCTGCAGAGAGGGTGGTGCTGATGTTAATGAGCTGCAGAGGGTGGTGCTGATGTTAATGAGCTGCAGAGGGTGGTGCTGATGTTAATGAGCTGCAGAGAGGGTGGTGCTGATACACAGTTGTTAAATGTGTTTTTTAAATAAATACAATAATAAAACAATGAAAAGTAGATACACCTCTTATTCAATAGAAAACAAAACCATCAGGACCAGTAATCGCACAATTACATTTTATTAATTAATTAATGTCGTTAATCTCTTATTCTCAGATTTCAAATCAGTCAATCCAGTCCATTTTCCCTTGAGCTGTTTCAGGAGTGAGTTCCCGTTCCTTTAAGTGAGATAGTTTGTAGTTTCAGGTTGATTGAAAAGCAGAGACCTGTAAATACTGTAGTCTCCGAACACAGGGACCTCACTGCTCCTCCTCAATCTGTCTCTCCTCAGTGTCTGGAGCGAGCCCTCAAGTTCTCCTTCAACGAGGTCCACCTGTGGCTCCAGCTGGGCCTGTCCCTCATGTCTGCAGAGAAGGTGAGCTCACCCGCCTCAAAACACCCCAGGACCTCCCCCAGAACCTCCCCCCAGGACCTCCCCCAAGGACCTCCCCCCAATACCACCCCCAAGGACCTCCCCCCAATACCACCCCCAAGGACCTCCCATAGGACCTCCCCCAAGGACCTCCCATAGGACCTCCCCCAGGGCCTCCCATAGGACCTTCCCGCAGGCCCTCCCCCCAATACCACCCCCAAGGACCTCCCATAGGACCTCCCCCAAGGACCCCCCCAGGATCTCACCCAAGGACCTCCCCCAGGAACTCCCCCAAGGACCTCCCCCCAATGCCACCCCCAAGAACCTCCCATAGGACCTCCCCCAAGGACCCCCCCCAGGATCTCACCCAAGGACCTCCCCCCAGGACCTCCGATAGGACCTCCCCAAGGACCCCCCCAAGGACCTCCAATAGGACCTCCCCCAGGACCTCCCCCATAGGACTTCCCATAGGACCTCCCATAGGACCTCCCCCGAGGACCCCCCCCAAGGACCTCCAATAGGACTCTCCCCCATAGATTCTCCCATAGGACCTCCCCCAGGACCTCCCATAGGACTTCCCATAGGACCTCCCCCAGGACCTCCCCCAGGACCTCCCAGGACCCCTCAGGTCAGATCTGGGTTGAGGCTGCAGAGCGTTCAGTACATTTGGCAGGAGCTCTGTATCTGCTCTGGTGCACACTGAGGGAGCCTTGCACAGTTATTCCATTGTGGTTTTACTGCAAATACATTCTTGAGTCTTGAAAGTATTGAAATTGTAAATTGTAAACATACAACTGTTGCTTGATTTTATATTTACGTTTCTATAGTAATTGTGTGAGTATTTACTGAAAGCACAGAAGGCCACATTTTAACTCATCAATGTAAATATTGTGACTGAAGAAATCAGTTAAACATTTGGGAAGTTGTCATTGGAGAGAATTTCTGGATTTGCAACGGTTCGTGTCATACAGTATGTAAAAGATAATGTTTTATAATTAGATAAAAACACTCAAAGATGAGATACTTTGGAAATCTCACAATGAAGGAATTTACACGAAATGTAGAAGAAAATGTTCCTTAAATAAGACTCTTTTGGTTTCGACAAAGAAAATGTTTATGTCCTACAGCTTTAACTCTTTTCATGATCCTGGTGTTTTATCTTTAGGCTTGAAGGCAGTAACTGAACAATCTGGGGTCTCAGAACACACAACATAAACTTCAGTCCACTTTTAGGAATGCCGAAAGGTTTATTTAAAATAAGATAAAAATAGACACAGAATGGAGAATGTTTGTTGTCGCCACGGCAACAGGGTAAAAAATATTATGTTGTCATTGAATTTTTGAATCCAGATGACAAAACAGAATTATGTGCAAAATTTCAAACATTTTGATAAAACTAAATTGGATCAAGCCCATGCGATACTTTAACATTGTCTGTAGGGGGCGCTAATGAGCCTATTTCAATATTTCCACTTTCAAATGACCTAGAAACAATGGATTAAAATTTTGTGCAAATCAGACTTTGTGCAAACGGGAGCAAATTTACTGTTGTCAAAAATTCAAACATTCAAATGTCACATTTTGCCGCTCCGCTGCTCAGACAACGTTTAAAGGAATAGTTCACCGTTTTTACATACTGACATATGTTCTTACCTTACCTTAGACTAGTTAATACGTACCTGTCTGGTCTTAGTCCGTGCGCTCTGTCATGCAAACGGAGCAAAAACGGGAGCACAACCGCAGCCTCCTCTGGTCACTGTGTAGGACCAAAAGGTAGCTCCCGCTAGAAGCTCCCAAACTCTTCCAAGTGTTCCCTATTAAATGTATATAGTTACGTGACGTGTTACACTGCAAAGTATAGTAACACAGAAATGTAACAGTCGATTTTCTCAGCGGATAAAACGGGTACTATATTGTGAGGCGTAGTAATCTGAGGAGCGCTACGTCCGCGCACTAACTTCTCTCCGTACTACAAGTCACGCTGCTTCTATTGACGGAAGTGAGCGAGAGAGAAGTCTCTAAAACTAGTACCTGTTTTATCCGCTGAGAAAATCGACAGTTACATTTCTGTGTTACTATACTTTGCAGTGTAACACGTCACGTAACTATATACATTTAATAGGGAACACTTGGAAGAGTTTGGTAGCTTCTAGCGGGAGCTACCTTTTGGGTACTACACAGTATACAGAGGAGGCTCCGTTTGTGCTCCCGTTTTTGCTCCGTTTGCATGACAGAGCGCACGGACTAAGACCAGACAGGTACATATTAACTAGTCTAAGGTAAGAACATATGTCAGTATGTAAAAACGGTGAACTATTCCTTTAACTGATCCAAATTCTTTATTCAACTATTGATGGTACATGTGTTTAGACCATGTGGAGCAAAAATCGGTGAAACGGCCGAGGAGGAGATAATTTCCAACCGACGTGTGAAAAAGATCAATTTTAATTTTTCCATTTCCCATTGACATTAATGAGCTCCCTGTTTGTCAGGGGGCGGTCACCTCAACATCATGAAGTCACCCCCCCCCTCCATAGGACCCCATTCATTACACTGTGTACTACAGCAGGATTTATCAGTGTCTGGGCACCGGAGATTGTGACTTATGACAATTACAACGTTACTCGTTGGAAAAGCAATAGGCCCTTGCCCCAGTTGGGGCTCGGGCCTAATAAAATAGTTCCCAAAGGCTTTCCCGTGGCTATGCTAGCAACAGTTAGGCTAACAACTTCCAAACTAGAACTCTCTGGAACTGCATGAAAACTGAACACAGAATCCTGAACATCAGCGGTGAGTGACCCAAACATAAACTTAACCTAAATCCATAATTCCATCCTCCGCAAATGTTCTTAAAATGTGCCGTATCTACTTCTGGGTTTTTCGGGATCACCTTTTCTCTCATTACATCAGTGTTTTTGTCATGAAAACGTAAACGGAAAATTCTGAAAACTTCCGTGCACTTGTATTAATAAAATACAATACAATACAATACAATACAATGTATTGTTGTATAGCCCTAGGTCACAACAGAAGTCATCTCAGAGACTTAACAAAACCATTGAAATCACCAACACAGGTCAGAGAATCAACAGTTAAAACACATGAAGAATATAAAGCACACACAGAAGAAAATGTCCATACATGTTGTAGAATGCTAAAGTGTCCTGATCATCACCAATCCTTTCTGTTGGACACTAACTGTCCAACAAGACCCTCCTGCATCCACAAGGAACAACTCTTAAAAAACCCAGTGGGAAAAAGTGAGAAACCTTGGAGGAGAACTAGGGAAACCCACAGGGAGGGAGACCCATATGAGAAAGGGATCCGCTCCTCCGGACGGACAGACTAATGTATTAATTAAGAATGTATTTGTATAATGTATTCTCCGATAAACATTTCATTGCGTTGATTGATTGGCATTTGCGTTTATTGAGCGGCCGGAACTACTTCCGGGTTTTTCACGATCGCTTTTTGACGCAGAGAAATAGTATTTTTGTCATGAAGACAAGACCAGAACATTCTGAACACTTCCGTGCACGTGTGTGAAGAATGTATATGTATAAGTATTCTCCGATTAACATTTAAGTGTGTTGATTGAGCGTGGCTAGCTCCGGAGTGGCCGGAACTACTGTCGGAGTTATCCACGCATTTGAAAGACAAGCAGAGAGTGCGTTGCCAAAGGGCAGTGGTCATTATTGTTTTGAGACGTCCGTTATAGAAAATAATGACCGGTAGAAGGTTTTTAAATTATATTCAGATCAATGGTTCTGCTGCGGCTGTGAGGAGCTGTGATAACTGTATTTAACATTTCCAGGCCTATTGGAACTTCTAAAAACCTTCTGCTCTCTGGGTCTGGATGTCTGTTTGCAGATCTGGGTCGAGGTTTAGCCGAGTGAAGTTTACAGTTTACAGTGTAGTTGGGAATGTGTTGTGCCAAACTGAGAAATCCAAACTAAAGTCCTTTTCTTTGTCCCACTCTTAGTCTTTAAATTAGATTTGGCATTTCCTCTGGAATCCCAGACACACCCGCTCGGTTTGGACAACAACACAACACTTGTCCATATTTCACCTCTGATGGTGACACACACACCCAGAGACACACACACACACACCCAGAGACACACACACACACACACACCCAGAGACACACACGCACACACCCAGAGACACACACACACACACACACACACACCCAGAGACACACACACACACACCCAGAGACACACACACACACACACACGCACACACCCAGAGACACACACGCACACACCCAGAGACACACACGCACACACCCAGAGACACACACACACCCAGAGACACACACGCACACACCCAGAGACACACACGCACACACCCAGAGACACACACACACACACCCAGAGACACACAGACACACACACCCAGAGACACACACGCACACACCCAGAGACACACACGCACACACACACCCAGAGACACACACGCACACACCCAGAGGCTGCGGACGTTTCAGAATGATATGGAGAGAAACGGACAGAGTGCGGCTCAGAACTACATTGGAGTTTACATTTACATTTACACACATACATACACACAAACACACATACACACAAACACACCTACACACAAACACACCTACACACAAACACACCTACACACAAACACGCATACACACAAACACACATATAGTCTACACAACACGTTTCATGCATTCTTCAAATAGTTATGTCCCGCTCTTGTGTTTCTGTGTGTGTCTGTGTGTGTCTGTGTGTGTGTGTGTGTGTGTCTGTGTGTGTGTGTGTGTGTGTGTGTGTGTATGTTTCTCTGTGTGTGTCTGTGTCTGTGTGTGTGTGTGTGTGTGTGTGTGTGTGTGTATGTTTCTCTGTGTGTGTCTGTGTGTGTGTGTGTTTGTGTCTGTGTGTGTGTGTGTGTGTGTGTGTGTGTGTGTGTGTGTGTGTGTGTGTGTGTGTCTGTGTGTGTGTGCATTGATCCGTGTGTGGGGTAAGGGGACACTGCAGATCAATGGAGCTCTCTGAATATGGTCCGGTCCGTAGAAGGCGCCGGCCCACCTCAGCGCGGTCACACCCTCCTCGGCTATTCCGGGCCGTCCCACTTTAGGGTGTGTGTGAAAGACTGCAGTGATTGACCCAGTTGTATTAAATGACTGAGTGTCTAAAGGAGTGTGAGAGAGAGAGGGCTGCGTCAGGACATGATACACACACTATAGAGGAGGAGGAAGAGGAGGAAGAGGAGAGAGAGGAGGAAGAGGAGAGAGAGGAGGAAGAGGAGAGAGAGGAGAGAGAGGAGGAAGAGGAGAGAGAGGAGAGAGAGGAGAGAGAGGAGGAAGAGGAGGAAGAGGAGAGAGAGGAGAGAGAGGAGGAAGAGGAGGCAGAGGAGGCAGAGGAGAGAGGAGAGAGAGGAGGAAGAGGAGAGAGAGGAGGAAGAGGAGAGAGAGGAGAGAGAGGATGAAGATGAGAGAGAGGAGAGAGAGGAGGAAGAGGAGAGAGGAGGGAGAGAGGAGGAGAGAGAGGAGAGAGAGGAGAGAGAGGAGGAAGAGGATGAAGAGGAGAGAGGATGAAGAGGAGAGAGAGGAGAGAGAGGAGGCAGAGGAGAGAGAGGAGAGAGAGGAGGAAGAGGAGAGAGAGGAGGAAGAGGAGGCAGAGGAGAGAGAGGAGGAAGAGGAGAGAGGAGAGAGAGGAGAGAGAGGAGGAAGAGGAGAGAGAGGATGAAGAGGAGAGAGAGGAGAGAGAGGAGGAAGAGGAGAGAGGAGAGAGAGGAGGAAGAGGAGAGAGAGGAGGAAGAGGAGAGAGAGGATGAAGAGGAGAGAGAGGAGAGAGAGGAGGAAGAGGAGAGAGAGGAGGAAGAGGAGAGAGAGGATGAAGAGGAGAGAGAGAGAGAGAGAGGAGGAAGAGGAGAGAGGAGAGAGAGGAGAGAGAGGAGGAAGAGGAGAGAGAGAGGAGAGAGAGGATGAAGAGGAGAGAGAGGATGAAGAGGAGAGAGAGGAGAGAGAGGAGAGAGAGGAGGAAGAGGAGGAAGAGGAGGCAGAGGAGAGAGAGGAGGGAGGAGAGACAGAGGAGGGAGAGGAGGAAGAGGAGAGAGGAGAGAGAGGAGAGAGAGGAGAGAGAGGAGGAAGAGGAGAGAGGAGAGAGAGGAGAGAGAAGAGGAAGAGGAGAGAGAGGATGAAGAGGAGAGAGAGGAGAGAGAGGAGGAAGAGGAGAGAGGAGAGAGAGGAGGAAGAGGAGAGAGAGGAGGAAGAGGAGAGAGAGGATGAAGAGGAGAGAGAGGAGAGAGAGGAGGAAGAGGAGAGAGGAGAGAGAGGAGAGAGAGGAGGAAGAGGAGAGAGAGGAGAGAGAGGATGAAGAGGAGAGAGAGGATGAAGAGGAGAGAGAGGAGAGAGAGGAGAGAGAGGAGGAAGAGGAGGAAGAGGAGGCAGAGGAGAGAGAGGAGGGAGAGGAGGAAGAGGAGAGAGAGGAGGAAGAGGAGAGAGAGGAGGAAGAGGAGGAAGAGGAGGCAGAGGAGAGAGAGGAGAGAGAGGAGAGACAGAGGAGACAGAGGAGGAAGAGGAGAGAGAGGAGGAAGAGGAGAGAGAGGAGGAAGAGGAGAGAGAGGAGGAAGAGGAGAGAGAGGAGGAAGAGGAGAGAGAGGAGGAAGAGGAGAGAGAGGAGGAAGAGGAGAGAGAGGAGGAAGAGGAGGCCACGGGATGTCAATTTGATTTTTTTTCAAACATAAAAGTGAAAGAAATAGGCCCACGCTCACTCACCCTAAAGTGACATATAGTGACTCCCAGGGCTTATTGAGAGTTTGCAAAAGAGAATCTGTTTTCTAGTACGATCAATGTTGTTTTCTCATAACATTTTAGTTTTTGAGACTTTTTCTGTTTCGTGAAGAAACAATGCAATTATAAACTACAGACGATTTTATCATCAGAGAAAACTAGTATTCAGTATAGTATTTTTAAATATATGCATGTATTTAATAATGTTCTGTACCATAAGTCTGCACCATGTGTCTGCACCATGTGTCTGTATCCTGTGTCTGTATCCTGTGTCTGTATCCTGTGTCTGTATCCTGTGTCTGTACCATGTGTCTGTACCATGTGTCTGTACCATGTGTCTGCACCATGTGTCTGTACCATGTGTCTGCACCATGTGTCTGTACCATGTGTCTGCACCATGTGTCTGTATCCTGTGTCTGTACCATGTGTCTGTACCATGTGTCTGTATCCTGTGTCTGTACCATGTGTCTGTATCCTGTGTCTGTACCATGTGTCTGTATCCTGTGTCTGTACCATGTGTCTGTACCATGTGTCTGTATCCTGTGTCTGTACCATGTATCTGTATCCTGTGTCTGTACCATGTGTCTGTATCCTGTGTCTGTACCATTTGTCTGTACCATGTGTCTGTGTGATTCAGGGAGTTGCAGCTGTGTCTGTGCTGAAGGAGTGTGCGAGGATGAGACCAGAGGACCCTACACTGCCGCTGCTCGCTGCTAAAGTCTGCATCACACAACTGCACTGGGTAGAAACACACACACACACACACAGACACACACACACACAGACACAGACACACAGACACAGACACACACACATACACTCAGACACAGACACACACACACAGACACAGACACACACACACAGACACACACAGACACACACACACATACACAGACACAGACACACACACACATACACACAGACACAGACACACACACACACACACACACACACAGACACAGACACACACACACAGACACACACAGACACACACACACATACACAGACACACATACACAGACACAGACACACACACACACACACACACACACACATAGACACACACACACACACACACACAGACACACACACACACACAGACACACACAGACACAGACACACAGACACACACACATACACTCAGACACAGACACACACACACACACACACACACACACAGACACACAGACACACACACACACACACAGACACACACACACCGGTTAACTTGATTTTGTATAGAGTTATTGCTCATTTATCTTGTGCTGTGTGCCTGTCCTGTACCTGGCGATGCAACACTGACATTTCCCCGCTGTGGGACTATTATAAAATCTCTTAATCTTAATCTACAGTGTGATTGTAGTAAACTCTAGTAAACTTTAAATTTAGCTTTAGCGAGTAGCGCCAGCGGAGACAGACCAGGCCACTCCTGATTCTCTTTCAGAAAACAGTCCCTTTAAAAAAATCTAAACAATACAACAAGAGGTTACTCGAGAAAGACTCAAATATTAATAATATCAATAATAATGAGTAATAATAAGAAATAAATGATAACCTATGTAATAATCTATGTGGTAGTACTGCTACTACTATAGTCCTGTTACTAATTACAATAACAATATTCATAATTATGTATTTTTTTGGTCTTTGTTGTTTTGTGATGTTATCTTTGTTATTAATCATTTAAAATGTGAACTGATTATTTTATCTGTTGCTTTAAAGATTCTGTTGCATTTTCATTATTGTTTTAAATTTAAGAGCAACAGAAAAACAACCTGGAAACATCTGTTACAGTCCACATGAGAGTAGCAAAAATACATATTATTACATTTATTTAACACTACAATGTGCTTTGGTGGTTTATAGTCAGTTCCTGTAGGGGGCGCTGTGCTGCTGTGAATGTGGAGCATCATGACGTCAATAGTTCATAACATGAGTAAATCTGTCTAATAAAACATGAAGTAATCAATGAAAACATAAATGAGGGAAAACCAGATTTAAGTTCAACGTGTTAAACTTGTATCAATAATGAACTTAGTATACGCCTTAAAGCTGCGATACTTAACTTTCAGACAACTAGACATTGAATATGAAATAAAACCCATTTTCACATCGTTTTCAGACAGAAATGTGAAGAAGAGAGGACCACTCTGCTCGGCCAATCAGCTCCCACTTCAGAGTAGCCCTGTGAGCCACTAATTTACTCACAGGGTTCTGTCTTACAAGTATGCAAAAGATACTAACCCCAAAGATACTAACTCCAAAGATACTAAACCCCAAAGATACTAAGCCCAAAGATACTAAACCCAAAGATACTAACCCCAAAGATACTAACCCCAAAGATACTAAACCCAAAGATACTAACCCCAAAGATACTAAACCCAAAGATACTAAACCCAAAGATACTAACCCCAAAGATACTAACCCCAAAGATACTAAACCCAAAGATACTAACCCCAAAAATACTAAACCCAAAGATACTAACCCTAAAGATACTAACTCCAAAGATACTAAACCCAAAGACACTAAACCCAAAGATACTAACCCTAAAGATACTAACTCCAAAGATACTAAACCCAAAGACACTAAACCCAAAGATACTAACTCCAAAGATACTAAACCCAAAGATACTAACTCCAAAGATACTAAACCCAAAGATACTAAACCCAAAGATACTAACCCCAAAGATACTAACCCCAAAGATACTAACTCCAAAGATACTAAACCCAAAGATACTAACTCCAAAGATACTAAACCCAAAGATACTAACTCCAAAGATACTAAACCCAAAGATACTAAACCCAAAGATACTAAACCCAAAGATACTAAACCCAAAGATACTAAACCCAAAGATACTAAACCCCAAAGATACTAAACCCCAAAGATACTAAACCCAAAGATACTAAACCCAAAGATACTAACCCCAAATATACTAAACCCAAAGATACTAACCCCAAAGATACTAACTCCAAAGATACTAAACCCAAAGATACTAACCCCAAAGATACTAACCCCAAAGATACTAAACCCAAAGATACTAAACCCAAAGATACTAACCCCAAAGATACTAACTCCAAAGATACTAAACCCCAAAGATACTAACCCCAAAGATACTAACCCCAAGATACTAACTCCAAAGATACTAAACTCCAAAGATACTAAACCCCAAAGATACTAACCCCAAAGATACTAACCCCAAAGATACTAACTCCAAAGATACTAAACCCCAAAGATACTAACCCCAAAGATACTAACCCCAAAGATACTAACCCCAAAGATACTAACCCCAAAGATACTAACTCCAAAGATACTAAACCCCAAAGATACTAAGCCCAAAGATACTAAACCCAAAGATACTAACCCCAAAGATACTAACCCCAAAGATACTAAACCCAAAGATACTAACCCCAAAGATACTAAACCCAAAGATACTAAACCCAAAGATACTAACCCCAAAGATACTAACCCCAAAGATACTAAACCCAAAGATACTAACCCCAAAAATACTAAACCCAAAGATACTAACCCTAAAGATACTAACCCAAAGATACTAAACCCAAAGACACTAAACCCAAAGATACTAACCCAAAGATACTAACCCAAAGATACTAAACCCAAAGATACTAACCCAAAGATAAACCCAAAGATACTAAACTCCAAAGATACTAAACCCAAAGATACTAACCCAAAGATACTAACCCAAAGATACTAAACCCAAAGATACTAAGAACTAACCCAAAGATACTAAACCCAAAGATACTAAACCCAAAGATACTAACCCAAAGATACTAACCCAAAGATACTAAACCCAAAGATACTAACCCAAAGATACTAACCCAAAGATACTAACCCAAAGATACTAAACCCAAAGATACTAAACCCAAAGATACTAACCCAAAGATACTAAACCCAAAGATACTAACCCAAAGATACTAAACCCAAAGATACTAAAACCCAAAGATACTAAACCCAAAGATACTAACTCCAAAGATACTAAACCCAAAGATACTAACCCCAAAGATACTAAACCCAAAGATACTAAACCCAAAGATACTAAACCCAAAGATACTAACCCCAAAGATACTAACCCCAAAGATACTAAACCCAAAGATACTAACCCAAAAACTAACCCAAAGATACTAACCCCAAAGATACTAACCCAAAGATACTAACCCCAAAGATACTAACCCCAAAGATACTAAACCCAAAGATACTAACCCCAAAGATACTAACCCCAAAGATACTAAACCCAAAGATACTAACCCCAAAGATACTAACCCCAAAGATACTAAACCCAAAGATACTAACCCCAAAGATACTAACCCAAAGATACTAACCCAAAGATACTAAACCCAAAGATACTAAACCCCAAAGATACTAACCCCAAAGATACTAACCCCAAAGATACTAACCCCAAAGATACTAACCCAAAGATACTAACCCCAAAGATACTAAACCCAAAGATACTAACCCCAAAGATACTAACTCCAAAGATACTAAACCCAAAGATACTAACCCCAAAGATACTAACTCCCAAAGATACTAACCCCAAAGATACTAAACCCAAAGATACTAACCCCAAAGATACTAACCCCAAAGATACTAACCCAAAGATACTAACCCCAAAGATACTAACCCCAAAGATACTAACCCAAAGATACTAACTCCAAAGATACTAAACCCCAAAGATACTAACCCCAAAGATACTAACCCCAAAGATACTAACCCCAAAGATACTAACTCCAAAGATACTAAACCCAAAGATACTAACCCCAAAGATACTAACTCCAAAGATACTAAACCCCAAAGATACTAACCCCAAAGATACTAAACCCCAAAGATACTAACTCCAAAGATACTAAACCCAAAGATACTAACCCCAAAGATACTAACCCCAAAGATACTAAACCCAAAGATACTAAACCCAAAGATACTAAACCCAAAGATACTAACC